CTCTCTCTCTCTCTCTCTCTCTCTCTCTCTCTCTCTCTCTCTCTCTCTCTCTCTCTCTCTCTCTCTCGGTCTCCCTGTTTCTAAGGTTATCTACTCGACTTCTCTCATATCCTTCTCTTCGCGCCCTTCGTCCCTGCTCCGCAACTTCGATCGCTCCCTCGCGCCTGTATGAAAGAATGATAGTCTCGCTAATAGGCAGATTAGCCACGCATCGAATGTTACGGTGATACGATTAGCGTTAGAGGAAGGTCGGCGTTAATTAATACGTCGGCACGTATCTCTCCCTCGTCGAGTTATATAAAATAATGAGGCTTATCGCGGACAGTTTAACGAGAAGTTTATCTCGAAAGAAGAGTAAATAACAAATATTCTCGTAACGTGAGACAATTTTTCTTTCTTCCTCTTTCTCTTCGTCTCTCTTTTTCTTCCATTTAACAACGTGTTTGCGCATCTCGAGGAGAACTACGCGAATATAATAATACGAATGACATCCACGAATGCCTCTCACAGTGCTATTGACCTTGGCATATAGAAGCCTCTTCGACGTGGAAATAACTTTACGAACACGCCACCTGACAGCCTTTTTTATGTCAAGTCTTCAACGCGCGTTCGCAAATTAATGGCCGCTGGTGAATTCCTTATGTCTCTATTTTTATCCCATCGTGCTTCGGTGCTTCTGTCTCTCGAGTTCTGTCGGCCAGTATACGCAAATTCAGCAGCAGGAGAAAGGTTGAAGCACCGCGAGCGGCCACATCGCGAATCCCGTTCCCTCGGTCCCAAAACAATTGGCCGTCGCGCCCTAGCTGTCTGGTGAACGTCGCGGCAGACAGAGTCAGGAGTAGCGGCGGGGCCCTGACCGTGGAAAGTAGAAAGAACTCTCGGGAAGGGAAAGAATCCACTCGAACCACCGGCGATGGTACACCTCGAAGGGCCCCCGCGATGGTAGTGGGGCATACAGACAACCGGGGGAGACAACTCTGCACTCGTACGTACTGCGTATAGCGACGAGGAGGAAAAGGGACAATACACATGACCATGCGCGCGCGCGCGCGCACACACACACACACACACATGTACGCACGCACGCACATACACCACAAATACAAGTCGCAACGGCAGCAGGAGAAGGAAGGCGGGGACGATCGTTCTCGGAACTCGGGTGACCTCCCCCGGTGCAACCGGCGAACAGCCGGACCCGACGGGTTAACTGTACAACCACTTATGTACCTCGACGCCGTAGGAATGCGGCGACGATGATGCCGTCGTCGTCGTCCCATGAAATAACGCACGACATGCCGCGGCATGACATACCTCCTCCTCCTCCTCCTCCTCCTCTTCCTCCTCCTTTCGCTGGAGGTCCCCCTGCTCCCTCTCTTATCCTATACACACAAACGGAGGAGGAAGACCTTATATCGCGCGCGGATGATCCATGCGCGAAAGCGCGGATCACGTCATTCATTCACCTGTACCGCCACCGCGCTGGTCTCTCTACCGGATCGACCCCGCCGCTGCGCTCATCTATTGTTCCCCGTAAATCTCGACCGTTCGCGGATCGACAGTTCAATCGGATCGCGGAAGCGGATCCGTATCGCGCCTCGATCGCCCTCGATCCTGAGCTTTTTTCACGACCTGATCCGTTCGTGGTTCCCCGCGTGCTTCACCATTTTTGTGAACCGACACTAGCGTATTGATTTTTCGCGACGCTAACGGCCCTATTTTTGCACGCTCTCGAGAGTAAACGTTTTTGCATCACAAGATGGTTGATTAAATGTCTCGCTCTTTGATAAGGTTACGATTAGAAACGAAAGATCCCTTTACAGAGACGCGTTACAGAGAGTGACGTTGAAACGTCTCTCGAAAATTGATTCTCCAAGTGAAATGTTTCGGGAATGTCGATTATCGTAAGATGTTGTGGACATCGAATTGAAGCTTTTGTATGGAGGAGAACGGAATTAACACAGTTAGCGCGTTCGTCGACGTATTTATTTAAGAAACAGATTTACCTGTCAGCACGAAGAAGAGAGAGGTACTTGTAACAAGCTATTCGTCGGCCGCCGCGAAGCGTGATTACTAACGGCGACGAGTCTTAAGCACCCGAACGGCTTATTCGCCGCAACGTTCGCCTCGTAAAGTCCGGTGTTCATGAATATCGAATTACGGGAGCTAGATCGCGGAAGATCTTCGTTACCGCGTTCCACGTACCAGAACCGAAGGTTTTTTCTACGTTTCAGTTGGTTCACGCGCGCACGATCCAGTCGGAGCCATTCATTCGAATAGGTGGTCTCCTCTGTGAAGCCCACGGTACCGTTCTCTCGCTTCTTATGGGCCTTAGAATTGGATCTCTCTCGGTAACCGAACGGGTCCGTTCTCTGTCTTCGACTCAGCCCCAACCATGGGGCTCTTCTTACGAGCTCTCCCTCAGTCTACTTTTATAGAAACACTAATTACGCGGATCCTGAGAACCCCATTAAAACCCCGTCGACGGAACAAGACATACGTCACTCGAGTTACATTGGGCGAAAGATCGTGCCGAATATTCTGATTAATTTCCCACATAGTGCACATCAATGCGCGTCGCTCGTCGACATCTCGTCGATTTTGCTGGGATCGTGATTATTTTAGAAATAATACCGCCCCGATGAGACGCATCTCACGGAAGTTTCTTCTTTCGCGAACCCGCAGAGTTCAGCCTGCCCGCGCGTCTCTACTCTCGCTCGGAGTAGTGAATGGAAGGATTCGTCGCGCGGGATTGGCAGACGATCGAGAACGACCTACCGCCGATATTCCAAAGTCGAGAATTCCGCAGCGACGGTGTGCGATATGTGAGATATCCCGGCCGGTGTGTCGGCGAGTGTTAGATTATGTACACGATCCTGTCGTTCATTCACCTGTTACATCTCTCTCCCGCCGCTCCTTTCCTCCCTCGTACCTTCTCACTCGACCATTCGCTCGTTCGCTCACTCGCTCGTGCTGTCTGCCTGCTCGCCTGCCTGCCTGCCTGCCTGCCTGCCTGCCTGCCTGCCTGCCTGCCTGCCTCATTCTCCCTCATTCTTCGACGTGATTCTACCATGCTATTACTTGGACCATAGATCACGCTCGGCGGTCCGCGAGGTCGCGGAAAAGAGAGACAGAGATGAACAGAGGTCGAGGAAAGAGGTCTCGCTTAGCTCTTATAACGAAGCCATGTTGTACCCCTTCTACACCTATAACGTCGCTAATACATCGCGTGATTACTTTTTTCCTTTTCATCTCCTGCGACATATATCAGATAAACTAGCCTCAGAACACTTTTCTTGCGTTTTAATTGCATTATTAATGTCACATGTGTATATTACGAAATTAACTGATCGTTATTAAAAACGTATGAATATATACCGCGCATGGGGTTCTTCGAAGGATCAATACGCGCTATTGCAACAATTAATAAACGCTACTAAACACGTTACACATCACGTCCGTTTATTTGCGGGCGTCCCGTAGATAGTTTTATGTCGTGGCCAAGGCAGGTTCGCGTAACTGGAAGCGAAACTCGAGGCGTTGTCGTTCATTGACATCTTATTTATGAGCGGCGATCCTGCTCGAGTAAGCTTGGCCGTTCTCCGGTAAGCATGAAAGAGCAAGCGGTACACACGGCTATCTAGGAAGCCTCGCGGCTCTCTTCGAGCGCGCTCCGTTCACGGAGATAGAAAAATCTAGAGAATGTCGAAGCCGTCGACCAGTTTCAAGAACTGTGCGCGCACAGTTGTGTGCGTGCAAGCTGATTTTTGCGCGGAGTCACCTTGTCTCCTTTGGTTTCGTTATTATCGTGCGACCGCGTTAACTCTCTTTACCCCTCCATTCCTTCTCTCTTCCTTCTCCCCTCTTCTCCAACTGTCTCCCTCCCCCATTCCCTCCCATCCCTACCATATTCCTTTTTCCCTCTCTTTTCTCACGCTCGCTAAACCTTTGTTTCTTTTTCCCCTCGCTCTCTCCTTTCTCTCCCCCGCTTTCTCTACTCATCTTCTATCGCCTTTCCCTCCCTCCCTCTCTTTTTCCTCTCCTCTCTCTTTTACTACTTTTCTCAGAATCCTTCTCATCTCCCCTTCCGCTCCATCTCCATTTTTCCTCTCCCTCTTATTTCCCACTTTTTTCCCCCCTCCTTTTCGTCGCTTTTCACACTTTCTCTTCCTTCCGTCACCTTCTCCTATTTCCGCTTCCCCATCATCTCTTTCTCCTCTTCTTTCCATTCTTTCCTCTTTTTCCTCTGCTCTTTCTTGCACTTTATCCTCATCTTTCTCTCTCCCGTTCCTCTCTCCCTCTCTTTCCGTCTTTCCTCTACTCCTTTCTCTCTCTGTCTCTCTCTCTCTCTCTCTCTCTCTCTCTCTCTCTCTCTCTCTCT